CCCCTTGAGTCATACCAATTGCCCGTACATTCTGGATAAAATGTTCTCTTATATAAAACTTCTCTGACTAATAAAGTACTGTTAGTGTTTGTTGGCCTTGTTATTTTTTTCTATATCTCCTGTTAGATTGTATGCATTTTAATATCCAAATTAGACATCTGTTTCATGGAAATGAGTTTCCGTTGTCACTCTTCATCTTTACGAAGCACTGTTTTAAGTATTTTGGAATGTTATTTTACTTTTCTATATCCTTCATTGTTTTGTGGTTGTGGTTATTATTCTTTTTCAATTGCTACAGAACATTGGTGCAGCTGTGTCGTCTGAGTGCATAATTGATTCCACGATATTCCAACTAGCCCTAGCTTAGAAATCTTGCATAATTTTATTGACTGTTATAATATTGCATGTGGGGCACATGGTATAATATATGAATTTATAATTATTTATAAACGTTAGGAATATTAGTTTAGCTGATATCTTAAATAAATCCCAAATCCACAGCTGCTAGAATGGAGAGAGAAATGTATGTTGACCCATATTGACCCAAACAAATAACATAGGATTTATTGAGGAATACTGTTACAAATAATTTGATTCATCATACCAAGAGTTATGATATATCATTCGTATATCAGATATTCAAAGTTAATGAAAAGAATAAAAAATAAATTTGATTATGTATCTGAAGTGAGTCTAGACGCCATTTAAAACACTTCTTGAAGTGTCTTAACTAGATCTAGCTTTTCTATCATAGTCAAGTATATATCTTGTATTATTAGTGTGTATTAATTAGAATCTCTTATAGAAACCTGTATTTTGTGCATATATTTACCAAACGATGTGGGTAATACAATTATGAATTTAACTACATATGATACAAACACCAATTTTATTATTTGAATTAAGAATGCATACACAAGTCAAGCAAAATTTTGGACTTATTTTAAGAATAAGAACTCAAAAAAGGTTCATTAGCTGGATAACCCGTTGGGTCTTATTCTAAATATTTTTACTGGTCAATTATTCACCAATAGTTTCAATGCATATTGAAAAGTGCATAAATGCACAATTATGTCTTTTGAATTGCTAGAATTTGGACTCACATTCATAATTTAAGAACTGGATTGATATATATATATACGATAGCAAGTAAAGGAATTGAATAGAAGTTCATAGAAGACTCCATGTAATTGAGTTCATGGGAATCACTTAAGAGATCATTCTGAGTAACGGTTCTTTTCTTCTATTTCATTTCAGTGAATCTGGGAACCCTATATATATTTACGGTCTGAAAGGATCAAAATGATTTAATCCTAGAAAATGCACTTACAATTTTCTGATTATAGTAGTTAATGACTAATTTCATCAACACTTGGCTTCTTAATGCGCGCTCTTGGTGACATCACTATCATCATGGTGCTGTTGGGAACATCCTTTTTAATGAGTATGAAGTAGAATCCTGATGAGGAAATGTGAGATCAATATTGGTGGTGGAAGGTCATTTCAAGTCTTGAAGAATTTATGTAATGTATTTAAGCTCAGACTCTAACAAGAGTCCAGGCGTTAGAAGCAGGGTAGGACCGTTACTCCATTCCTTTTGGTAGACTCGAAGGAGAGGTGATTATATCTAAATTATTTAAGTTGGACCACACTGGAATAGTCTGCCGAGGATATTTGGGTCCTAGCCGAATGACATCCAACTTGAGTCTTTTGTATGTGCCTTTATGATACTTTTTTTGGAAAAAAGTTGAACAACTATATTTTATCTGAGATGGAGTTCTTGGAAGTGACATTTCTCAAAGGAGTCCTAGTTTCTTGAATTCTTAATTCTTTATAATGAATATGAACACACTCTTTAATGTACTTATTAGCTTCACCCACTTGTGCAGCAAGCAATTGAAGGAATTTTTCAATGTTTCGGTGCTTCATGATACAATTATTCGCATTTTGGAGACTTTAATGGTCATGAGGAGCCCTCATCATTGGATCGGTTATTTGATGCCCGAAGATGCTGGAATTTACCAGCCCTCAAGTAGTTGTGCCTCAGATCTTTCACACGCCACGAAATTTGATTTACTTATGGTGGAAACACGTGCTGTGTTATTAAGGTATGGTTGTTTTTACAAGTCCAGGAGTTCAAAGTAAATATACAATTATCGAGGATATTTTTTTTTTTTTTTCGTGATGTATTATGAACTATACGTATATATATATATATATCTAAAAAAGGAATAGTTTCTAAAACTTTTGAACTGCTAATAATACCCTCATTAAGAATAAGTTTTAAGGTTAGTAATGTATTTCTTTCATTAAGTTAGGAAGTTACAGTAGTTTTTACTTTTTAATCCTCCATTATTTAATTTACTTTTATTTATTTTTTTTTCTTTTTCTTTTTTTTTTTTGGATTTTCAACCCATTTTTGTTGAAATTTATTTATTATAACTCTCTAAAAGAATAGTTTCTTAAAAGCAAAATACACTCGCATTAAGGGTACGTTTTAAGGTTAGTAAAGTAATTTTTTGTTATTCTTAGGAAGTTAGAATAGTTAAGTTTTTAAACCTCTATTTCGTAATTTACTTTTCTTCATTCCATTTTTTTTTTTAACTTTGTATATCTTTGATTTTTTCAAATTTTATTTTTTTTTACATGTACAAAGTTAAATAAAAAATTATACTATTCAGATATTCTACATATGACTTTGGGTTTCAATTTAGTTATTTTAAATATAGTTTTAAAATGTAAGAGAAAATATATTTTACCATTTATTTCAAATAAAATATATCTTATGCCATAAATGTAAAATACATAATGCACTGACGAAAGTCTCTTCACAAATTTTTAAATATCATCTTGTTTACTACTGTTTACTATAGGGATTCTTGGTTATAGAATTAAAAACTATGAAGAGGAACAATTTCGTGCATATGCATACGTTTATGAATGATCTAATACAAAAATAATCCTTCAGCATGCATACATGCATAAATACATACAAAATGTCATTTTTTTTGTGAAAAAAGTTATTTCTTACGTAAATAATATATGATTCATTAATAGAAATATTTTGTTTAAGTTAAACAAAATATTTATTTTATTGAGCATTCAAAATTTCACAGAAAAAAAAAATATTTATTTCATTTTGGATATCCAACACACATTTTTATTTAGTTTTATTTGTCATAGCTTTCAGGCTTTCAGTTAATAATATTGAACATTTTTTTTCAGCATTTAATACATTTAATGATTATCATAAATTACACTCTCTATTGTTAAACTAATGGGAAGATAATTAATTTATGCTATAAGTATAAATCCAATAATAAAAATAAATTTAAATCATAAAAAGAGCAATAATGCACGTGCATCTTCCTAGTGTATGTGTGTGTGTGTGCAGCGTATTATTTCTTAAAATTAAGATTACCCTACCTTACAATTATCGCCCCTTTCTAAGTTTACTTTTCGTAAGATACACACAGAAAGTGTTGCATGACGCATTTTTTGTTTTATTTTTGTCAAAGTATGTTTCCGTGTGAGAGAGCACCATCTGCTCCCATGTGCCTACCAGGTTACTGGGGCTCTTAAATATGCCCGAGTATGACATCTCTCTTTCTTTCCACCAAAATTGTAAACCTGGGCGTCGTACCACACTGCATGTTAAATTTTGACATAGGATATTAAGACTTAGTGTTGTATGTTGATGATCATAAAGCTTTGCTTTATTATCTACATCTGATTTGATGTTTAACAGAATTTAGTCTGCATGTGACATTCTTGCTTTCTCTTTGTTTGGACAGTGCGGAATTTTCCAATATTATCGATATATCACTGAGAGCTGTGGTTAATGGATTGTTGGAAGATGTAATCATCCATAGTGGAGAAAACAATTTAATGTCTGGAATGCCGCTTGCCAGACTTGTACCAAGAATAGCTCATATATCTCAGTTTCTTCTAATCGAACCCAATAGAAGTAGGTATATCCAAATAATCCGGAACATTCCAGAGGTCGAGAGGTTCTTCACTGTTTTATACTCAACATCGCCCACTTCGTAGTGTAGAATACACTTGTTTGTTGTTTCATTAACTTTTTTGGATAGTGTGAAGTGATTGGTAGTAAGTGATGTGCAAGGCTGAAGAGAATAAGGGCAATGTATGGTTTGCCGTCTGTACTTTTTAAGTTTTCCAGTTTTACTTTTACGGTGTTCCATATTTTGTCTGTTGAATTTCTTGGAGGGGTTTTACCGGTTTGAAAGGTGGTGAGGGGATTTTCAATTTGGCAATTTGCAGCACCGGAAAAATCAATGCACTGGTGGATTACTGGTTTCCATTGCAGGAAAGATGTTCAAATTCTGATTCATATAAAACGTCCGTGGCCATCTATAAGAATATATGTGATTATAGGAAAATTTGGGTCATTACATTCTGTTATAACGCACTGATAATTCTTTTTGGAAGGAATATAGTAGAATTTTAAAAAGTAGACAATGAAAGATTGTATGATTCTGATATAGCAAAATGGAAAATGCAACAGTCTCGTAACAGAATCATTCTGTTGGGATTTTTAACTGTTAGATGCATATGTTAATCTACCTGTGCATCTAACGGTTAAAAATTCCAACGAAATAGTTCCGTAACGGGATTGTAGCCGTAACTAAAAAATCTATCTCTATGCTATTCTAAAAGGAATTCTAAAAGGAGGATTGGTCATGTAAAAATATGAATTAATTAAAAATTCTTACTTTGATATATTTTTAACGATAAATTAGTAATACATTAATACTCATCTTATCTTATATTTTTAGTCAATTATCTAAAAAAACTCTTTGATTCATTTTTAATGAAAAATTAGTAATAACTAATATTTATTTTATCTTATATTTGTAATTACTAATTAATATTTAATTAATTAAATAAAAATACATAAACTAAACATTTAATATCTCTTAAGAGTCAACTACAACATTTTTGCACCATTATTCCGCACGAATTTTTTTTCTTCCACATATTTCTGCTTTCTACCATATCTCTCGAAAGTCAACCCAAACAACAAAATTTTGAAAGGATATAAAATTATTGTTTTGAAAGACGTCTTTATTTTTAAGAGTATAGCTATTTTCAACATGCTCTGAAGATGAGCTAAGTTTTTTCACATCGCCAAATAACAAGTTAACTTTTTCACCTGACAAAGTGCGAAACAAATTATGCGACAAACAGAGGAAGATAATTGATAAAGTGTGGATTAGTTATGCGATAACTATGCGACAGACATACGAAGATAATTGATAAAGTGCGGAATATTTATGCGATAAATAGGCAAAGATAATTGATAAAGTGCAAACTATTTATGCGATAAACTATGCGAAGATAATTGATAATATGCGAACATAATATGCGATATACAAGCGAATATAATTGATAAAGTGCGAAAAAAATATGCGATAAAACTATGGACACACAAGCGAAGTTAATTGAGTAAGTGCGAAAAAAATTCTGCAATAAACTATGCTACATACAAACACATACCATATACAAAGTGGGAAATATTTATGCGATGAACTATGTGACAGACATGCGAAGTTCATTGAACAAGTACGGAACAAATTATGCGATAAAGTATGCAACAAAGTGACGAAGTTAACTGAGCAAGTGCAAATTACTTATGCGATCAACTATGCGACAGACAAACGAAGATAATCGAGCAAGTGTGAAATAAATTATGCGATAAAGTATGCAACAGACATTCAAAGTTAATTGAGCAAGTGCGAATTACTTATACGATCAACTATGCGACAGAGAAACAAAGATAATCGAGCAAGTGAGATCTCATTAAGGGTTTAATTACGCGACAGACAAGCGAAGATAATCGAGCTAGCGCGATGTCATTATGCCATAAACTGTTAAGTGATAATGTGCAAAATAATTATTCAATAAACTATGCGATAGACAAACAAAGATAATCGAGCTAGTGTGATGTAATTATGCAATAAAATACGCGACAGACAGAAGAAATTAATTGATAAAATGTGAAATAATGTGCGATAAACTATACGAAAGACATACAAAAATAATCAAGCAAGTGCTATCTCACTAAGCGATAAACTATTGTGCTATAGAGAGGCAAGTTTGATTAAACAAGTGCGAAATAATTATACGTTAAAGGACGCGATAGAAAAGTGAAGATAATTTAGCAAGTGCGATCCCATTATTCGATAAAATCTGCAAACTAAAGGCGAAGTTAATTGAGAATATGCACAGAACTAAGAAATAAAATATGCGACATATAGACAACGAATATGAAGACAACAGCGGGTCTGTCGAATTTTAGTCACAGGTCAGCTTCTTGCACATGTTTTTCCATTTTTCTAGTTTTTCCTCAATTATCAACTTTTCGTGTGTGCCCTAGAAAGATCGTTCTCTTGAGAACGTTGTAACAGAACCAAGTGGAGGAAGTTTTCAACATTTAGAATACCTGAAGTTTTTAAGAATGGAAATCCCCAAAGCAATGAGGTGGAAGATCGTGGGGCGAACCAAGATCAACAATCGGAAGAACATAATGGAAAACGATAGGGACCACGACTTGTATGAACTGATCGAGCATACGCTGATCAAAGGCGAGAACCATGAAATTAATAACATGAACCTGTGACCGGGATGCGAAGGTATAGACGATCTTAACAATAACAAACACAAAATACATTCATTTTTTTTGTCAGTAGAGATGTGGATGAAATTTTTTGGACTTCATTCTTGGAGTATTTATACGGATATCTAACGTTTCAAGTTGCTTCATAATAATTTATGTAGTATTTATTGATACATGACGTTTCAACTTTCAATCCATGTAGAAAGGACTGTTCGAATAACAGATTTGCTTCGGAAAATGTGATTCATTAAAATATGTGATTTGTAGGCGAAACATAATACACAAAAATTAATCGCATATTCATTTATTTGAAATTTCATTTTTGGTAAGTTCGTAAGTAATCTACGATTATTATACGAAATTTTTTTATGACGATTATTTGTCACACAATTATTATTAAATAGAAAAATAAAAGCATTTTAGATACACTACGAAAGACTACCAAACAGATAAAAAAACTAAACCAATGAAACGACTGCTCGAAGATGTGATTGGCTCGAAAATGCGATTCATTATGCGACTGTGCTCGCGTCAGAATAAATTGTAGAGTAATAATATTTTTCAAGTTGTAAATTCAAATTTTGCGATTAAACTGTGTAAGAGATACGTCGGAACTGTGATCTTCGTAATTATTATTTTTATTTTGTTACTAAAATATGTGATTAGTAGGAGAAACATTATACTATGTATTTTTTGTTGTTGTAGCCTACTTTATCATTTTTTCTTCTTTGTTTATATTTTTTAATGTTTGGTTTAAGACACGATAAATTTATATTATTTACATCACTTTATATGTGAAATATATCAATTACTTGTTAACTTATAAATAGATGAAATTTGAATATATGAAATATATAATGTAATTTTATTAATTTCCGTAGCACATTCAATGAAACAACATTTGGAATTCCACAATTTAAGTAAAATATCATATAACAAGTATGTTGGGTTGACCTGCCTAAAAAAACGTGTATCCCATAGTAGCATTTGAAATAAATTATATTATTTTTATAAGTCAAATTTAAGTAGGGAAGATGAAATTACGCGGCGGTACTATTTTTTGAATAAAAAATTACTATATCAACAAAAAAAATCTACAAGTTTGTGTAAAATGCAATCGATATTCATATAAATACACCTAGAAAAAATAACATAAGGTGATCTTAATTTACTAAAACAATATGATATTTTTTTAATAATTTCATTTGTTTTGTAATTTACATTAAATACTTAAGAAAATATCATACTTTGAATGTTTGCACATAAAAGTACTATTGAGTCAAATTGAGTCGAATGCATCGTGTTCGAATCTGTGCTCGTTTAATAAATGATTATGTTTGGTTCAGATCATTTAATAAAGCAAGTGTAATCAATTAAGCTCCGCTTGTTTGAATTAAGTTTTTATTTTATGTTTTATTATATGAATGAGTCAAAGTTGACTTTTTACAAAGCGAACTGAGTTGTACTCCCTAGTAAATTTGTTATAGCAGCCCCGGGTAAAAAAATATTTCTGGCTACGCTCATGGCTCGTTTGATAAACGAGTCAAAGTGGAGCTCATTAAAGGCTCGAAAAGAGAATTTTTGTATAATTTTGTATAGTTCGGCTTGTTAAAGCTCGAGATTGGCTCGTTAAGGCTCAAACTCGACTCGTTATTAGTGATAAACGAGCTGAGCTCGAGCTTAATTCCAGGCTCGTTTATTTAATGAGCGGAGCTTGGATCGGTTCGTTAAGGGCTCGAGCTTGGCTCGACTTCTTTATAGGCCTAACTAGGACCAACTAACCCGAGCTTATAACTAAGACTAACTCAGACGAGCTAACTGGGACCGACTAAACCGAGCTAACTGGGGCCAGTTTACTCGAGCTACTCTACATGTTATATCACATGCATACATACATACATACATGCATACACAGGGACGGACATGCATTAGGTCCAGGGGGGCGGCCCCCCTCAATTTTTTTTTTTTTAAATCATTATATATATACAAATAAAAAATACTATAAATTATGAATAAAAATGTAAAAAACATGTAGAATATATAAATAATTAAAACTTATTTTCAATGCTATTTTAATTTAAAGTTATAATATTATTTATTTATTGAAAAGTATACTAACAATCTTTATATTTTACATTTACGGAAAATAAATATATAATAATTTACTTTTTCGGCATCTTAATTGTAAATCAATTTAATGATTTGTAAAACTTAGAATTTAGTTGGATTGTTAGATTTTTGAATGTTGATCGATTGTATATTTGAATGTTGATTTTTTACTTTATTTTTTTTATATAATCACATATTTTCAACTTTATTTATTTTTTTATTAATAAAATGGTCATTTGATAAGCTCTCATCAACAAAAAATGTTATACAATGTATTGCAAAAGTTCAATGTAAATCAAATTTTGAACAAAATTACTTATTTCTTCATAAATTATAGATCTTAAACTTAAATTATAAATACATGAACTCTAAAAAAAAAAATTTCCTAAAAAAAAAATTTACTAAATACCGCACCTCAAAAAGACAATTTTACCTTTTTCAATTTTATTTATTTATTTTTTTCGGACGCCGGCCGGCCGCAACTCGCTCGGCCGGCCGGCTAAGGCGGCCGTCTCTCGCCCAACCGCCTAAGGTCCGACCGGCCACTCCTAAGGCCGGCCTTCTTTGGCGGCCGGCCGTTCCATTTTTGGCCGGCGGCCGGTCAAATTTTTTTTTTTTTTTTAATTTAAATATTTTAAAAACTATATAAAGAAATTGATTAATAATTATTATTGAAAATTAA